GTCGTCCGTATTTTTCGAAAAATTAAAAAATCCGTCCTCAGGCAGAAAGGGGGTGGGTGGTCAAGAGCGCAGGCGGAATTTAATTTTTTGATTTTTCGTACTTTTTTTTCTTTTCGTCAGTGACTTTCATACACTTGTTGCACTGACATGTAGTGCACTGTAGACGTAGTGTAGGATCGCAAACACCAGCATGATTATACCGGTACATGACTCTTTTTTAGTTGTAGGACGCGCATGGCCGTCGGTAGACCTCCTACTCACTTTACTTAGCTACTAGTACTTGACATACATGTACATGGAGGTGCAATCAGTGAACATGGGGTCAGGACTCAGGAGTTCTTATTTTCGAGCCGGGCATTGGTAAAAATCAAAAAATTAATGGGAAAAAATGGGAGGTGGGTGGGTGGGTCAGAGACAATTTTGCACGAGGACGGATTTTTTATTTTTTCAATAATTACGGACGACCCCTAAGAAAAAAATAAATATATAATCACTCAATCTGCGGACAGCATGCTGTTTCGTTCTTTGTGAACTCATCAGCGCAGCACAGAGGAAATGAGGCCGAACCTGATAGCAATGAAAATAAAAATTTCCAATCAGGCCCGAACGTACCTTGCCAGAGTGCTCAAACTGACAAGTCGGTGAGCTCTGCGTAATGCAAACAGCAAAGGCACTAGACTTTTCCCGTTTGTGTCTTTCCCTCAAACCAGTGAAGATAAGTGGACTAAGAAAAAAATAATAAAAAATATAAAAATAAAATCACTCAATCTGCGGACAGCATGCTGTTTCGTTCTTTGTGAACTCATCAGCGCAGCACAGAGGAAATGAGGCCGAACCTGATAGCAATGAAAATAAAAATTTCCAATCAGGCCCGAACGTACCTTGCCAGAGTGCTCAAACTGACAAGTCGGTGAGCTCTGCGTAATGCAAACAGCAAAGGCACTACCCCACACGAGAGTGCTCAACTACTACAAGAGCAGGAGCGAAAATACTAACTAAAATAAATCACTGAACTCCTAATGCCTAGAGCTGGACTGGATAAAACGAGGGTCGAACAAACAACAAATTTTCAAACCTGCGGGCCCAGAAGGTGAAATAGAACACGTCCAATACAGTCTGTATCGGCTATAGAGTGACCGGATATAAGAATATATCGGCTACAGTGATATTGGTACGAAATATCAAAAGCAAAACGTATTTTATCCAGTAAAAAATATCACTATAACCAATACTATCGGATGTAATGATATATCGGATATTATGATGGCAACAAAGAATCAAAACATGCATAACACACTATATCATTATCAGCTATAGTGATAACTTTAAAATACATGTAGCAATAATATCAAAGGCCCTATTTTTTTACTTTCTTCCCGTTGCTTATTTTTATAGCTATACAGTCATGTACATGTACATAACAGAATATTTTTATGGAAAGGCGGGCACTAGTAGCGCACTGTCAACTATGCAGCATGCTCATTTGTCAAAACGCCATGCTGAGAAGTATTTCCTTGCCTTTCATGTGTCGATCGAAAAAAAAAAAAAGAAAATCGATCGTATCGCATATAGTGATGCATCGGTTATAGTGATAAAATCACGGAAATCAAAAGTGTACGCTATAGCCGATACAGACTGTAATAATGTTGTCCTGCACATATGGGTTTGTGAAACTGTAGACGGTCGCGTGGCCCAACGGACAAGGCGCCTGACTACGAATCAGGAGATTCCAGGTTCGAATCCTGGCGTGATCGCATTTTTCTCGTTTTTTTTCATGAAAGTGCCTACGCATGCCTACATAGAGAATACTAGTAGCAGAAAACAACGACAACAAATAATGTGGACTTCCATTGCTTCCTCTTTTTGCACGGCCGATTTATCGCCACGACAGTGCTGCTCAATGAAATCCGGTCACTGAAATCAAAAATGTTATTTCTCCTTCCCTGCTCACTTTGTATTCTCATATTCTCATTCTAACTGTACAGAAATGGAGACCCCTCGATAGGCCTAAACGGCCTCTGGGGAATCCTTGAAATAAATTATACAAATTATACAAAAATTGTGAAATGTGTGCTTCTAGCCCTGAGCCACTTCATGTCCCAGTGTTTGCACATCTAGGGACAGCACAGCACAGCACAGCGCACAGCACAGCACAGCACAGCGCACAGCGCAGCGCAGCACAGCACAGCGCACAGCGCACAGCACAGCACAGCGCACAGCGCACAGCGCCCGACCCGGCCCGGCGTGGCGCAAGCAAAACTTCTTAATGCTGAGTTTGGCTCTTCACACCACGCCCAAAGTGTGGTGTACGTGACGTTTTCCTCCAAATAGCCGTGACAACATGGAACGTGGCGGGGAAAATCGAACGCCTGATACAAAAACACAGACGGAGTATCCAAACTCCTCCATTAGCCGCATCCATTGTACCCCTTGTGCCTGGCCACAAGTTCCCAGTTGACTGTGGGTAGCAGCATGAATGCAGCGCATGAATACTCAGGAAAATATTACCGGAGACCAAACGGACCCCAGTATACCGGGAACGGAGGAAGAAAAAAGTCAAAGTGGATTGAGGGTTACAATGGGATGTATGTATCTAAGATGGCCGTCACCTTTGGGCCGGGGCAAGTTACCCCATACTTGGCAGGGCAAGTTACCCCATACTTGGCAGGTACAACCCGTTATAGTACATTTCAGAGTATGAGCTCACAAAGTTCATGATCTTTTATGCAGAGTTGATATGACAGTGTGTACGGTTGTAGTGGACTTGCCATGCAAAACCTAACGGCGGCGGGAAATTGATACATACGTCTCAACGCCAACAAGTGTTTCACAGAACAACCTACCGTATACCCTCAGAGCGTGCGGTGCTGAAAACCAGTTGCAACGTTGCTGGTCGGCCGTCAGCTTGTCGTCGCGTAGCTACAGACATGCACGCCAACGACAAGGAACACACCGACGTGCCCATGTGTGAGCGGGGTAGTTAGTGAGTGGGTGGGTGTGAGGGGGGGGGGGGGGGAGGGGGACACAAATGAACACGACTCTGCACCGCAAATAGACGCACACACAGATAGCACACACACATAAGCACGCAAATTACATACGTGTACTCACATGCACAGAATATACTTTGAAGTACGAACACGTAAACACACGTAAAGACACGCACGCACGCGCACACACACACAGACACACACACACACACACCAGGGCTGACATACTTGGAGGGATAAAAATCTGACGGGGGTCCGGGGGTGTCCCCCGGCGGGGGTTGAGGGGGCAGGGCCCCGCGATGAATTTTTTTAGGAAAATGGCTTGCAGTTGGGGCCCCAGAACACATTTTTAACTGTCCAGCACACGCACTACAACCATGTCAATTATGCAGACCGGCCAAACGCGACCTGGAAGCGCGGAATTAATGGCCAACTGGACTAAAAAGCACTCAAAATAAAATAATCGGTTGTCTCTCTTTGGGAACAAAATCGGTCGGTTTGTCGGACAAGCGATCAAAAATCCGACGATTTCCGGAAAATCGGAGCAAGTGGCTGCCCTGACACACACACACACACACACACACACACACACACACACACACACACACACACACACACACACACACACACACACACACACACACACATGCGCATGCACACATACATACACACACACAATGGGCCCCACCACCACACTCCATTATTCACCCCAGTGTCTGGAGATAAGTGGATTTTGTCGAGAGAAAAAAACCACACACACACACACAGAAGCATACCTGAAGTAGCTCGTCAAGAAACTTGCAGGACATGATGTCTTGCACCTTCACCTTGCCTGCAGACACACACACACACATACACACACACACACACACACACACACACACACACACACACACACACACACACACACACACAAAGACAGAATTCAGTTGCAGTTAGTCATCGCGTGCATGCGTGTGGTTGGAGCATACACGAATTGGCGTCGCGTAGCTTGTTTATCAATATGTATACCGAGTACGTGCCACGGGAACAACCGCAAGACCGGCAAGACGCGTTTGCTGTGCAGTGAAGCCGAGACCCTACGTCAGTGGAGCACATCAGACCCCGTCACCACGTCCACGATTCATGCCTGCGATGATGCATCGCTGCTTTGCATGTCATGATTGAAAGCTGTGGCCTTAGTAAAAAATAAATAAAATAAAATAAATAAAGTAACAAAAGCCGTCCCTCTCCCCTCCAGCACTTTATAAACCAGCACCCTCTATAAACGAGCACAATTTCCAGTCGCCGAAAATGTCCTCTTCGTGCACATTGCAGCAGCAGATCAGATTTGTTAGTCCAGCACCCTCCCTAATCCAGCAGAATATCCGTAGCACAAATGCTGCCGGACTGTAAAGGAACTACAGTAAAACCTGTAACTAAAGACCGGCACCGTGACTAGCGACCAGCCTGGTACTAAAGACCACTTTGTCAGGCACGGACGGTCTCACATTCAAAATGCACTGTGACTAGCGACTACCTGCTGAACGCGACCAACGACCGCCTTTTCTTGTCCGAATGTCGAATTTTGACCCGTAACTAGCGACCGCGATGTAGCAAATCAAACATTGCTTGAAGCTCCTTCTCGAAATTTTGATGATTTTCCATGGTCGTTTCGATACTACAGCTGGACAAATGAGCGCAGTCTCATTTTTACTGTGGAATCAGTGTGGAGTGCACTACACCTGTCATAATTTCAAGTGCTGTCAAGAACAAACATGATAGGAAACGTCTTGGAGAGCGCATCCAAAGCGCTCTTTGATCGATGTTACTACTCGAAGGAGAAACTAAGACTGAGCGGCTCTCTGTCGAAGTGCAATCACACAGCTCAGTCACCAGGTCACACTGACAGTCTGTGCTGGCTAGCTCGCATGCTACGGTACTCACCTGTACGGAACACAGGCCAGGATACGATGGCGGATAATAGTCTACAGTGAAGGTGCGAAAACTCGCAACATCGCCGCATCACGTACTGGTACACGCCAGTACAGTTTACGCTACACTACCGGTACATCCAAGTCGGAGCGAATGAGTTTCCACTGTAGATCTACACACTGATACCAGTTGCCAGTGTAGTCGCACACAGATGAGGATGGAGTCGATAGTGACTAGTCCACTGCCTGGCCAGGCCAGCGCTGCTCTGGAAACCCAGTGAGTCGACATAGATCTATGTGTCAAAAGGTCGTATCGCTTCCGGTGTATAAAAAACTTGATTTTCTCTCTCTCCAAGTGTTGTATGATCTGAAAGAAGAATGTCAGTGCGCAAGTGGTGGGGGATTGTATTATCTGCATTTTGACATACATATCATATAATGGGATCCATATATGGTCGCGTGGTGCAAACCTCTAACTAAAGACCACCTGCCACTAACGACCACTTTTCCGGGCACCAAGGGGTGGTCGTTAGTTACAGGTTTTACTGTACTGTATAACACAACCACGTGAGTACTTCAAAGTAGTTTTTAAATTCTATAAGCATAACAACAAAGAAAGAAGAGAGTGAGTTAATGAGTGAGCGACGACGGGCAGAGAGACAGACAGAGGTGGACAGGGAGACAGACAGAGGTGGACAGAGAGACAGACAGAGGTGGACAGAGAGACAGACAGAGGTGGACAGAGAGACAGACACAGGTGGACAGAGAGACAGACACAGGTGGACAGAGAGACAGACAGAGGTGGACAGAGAGACAGACAGAGGTGGACAGAGAGACAGACACAGGTGGACAGAGAGACAGACACAGGTGGACAGAGAGACAGACACAGGTGGACAGAGAGACAGACAGAGGTGGACAGAGAGACAGACAGAGGTGGACAGAGAGACAGACACAGGTGGACAGAGAGACAGACAGAGGTGGACAGAGAGACAGACAGAGGTGGACAGAGAGACAGACAGAGGTGGACAGAGAGACAGACACAGGTGGACAGAGAGACAGACACAGGTGGACAGAGAGACAGACAGAGGTGGACAGAGAGACAGACAGAGGTGGACAGAGAGACAGACAGAGGTGGACAGAGAGACAGACAGAGGTGGACAGGGAGACAGACAGAGGTGGACAGAGAGACAGACAGAGGTGGACAGAGAGACAGACAGAGGTGGACAGAGAGACAGACAGAGGTGGACAGAGAGACAGACACAGGTGGACAGAGAGACAGACAGAGGTGGACAGAGAGACAGACAGAGGTGGACAGAGAGACAGACACAGGTGGACAGAGAGACAGACACAGGTGGACAGAGAGACAGACAGAGGTGGACAGAGAGACAGACAGAGGTGGACAGAGAGACAGACAGAGGTGGACAGAGAGACAGACAGAGGTGGACAGAGAGACAGACAGAGGTGGACAGAGAGACAGACAGAGGTGGACAGAGAGACAGACAGAGGTGGACAGAGAGACAGACACAGAGACAGACAGACAGATAGAAACACACACACACACATACACACACCTGTCCTCAGCGGGTCAAGGAAGAAGAAGAACTTGCGCACGGCGGTGCAGACGAAGAATGAATAGAACGAGTCTTCCAAGCCATTCAACTGAGAGAGATATAGAAATACGCACATATACAAACACACACCCCCCCCCCCACACACACACACGCACGCACGCACGCACGCGCACACACACACACACACACACATACACACACACACACACAAGCACATATCGGAAACCTTTTATTTCAATGAGCTGCGCATAGTGAGGGGCGGTGCTGATTTCCTTTCTCTCGTAGCCCTTCGGCCTCTCCAGCAGGTTCCAAATTCCACATGGGTCTCCCGAGGGTTGGCAATACTCTAGACTGGACCTCAGGTGCAAATAACAGATTTTACGGTCCTCGGTGTTACCTTTACTGAAGGCTCACAATACCACCTCACAATAACACCTCAGCGTACGACAACGCAAAACTCGTACAGTCCCAGATCTCGTTTATTCGGTTGTCTGTTATCTGCCTCCCTTGCCCACCCAAAGTAATAAAGTTTCGGAGAATATCCACAGCTAACACCTGGGTCTCTCTCTCTCTCGCTCTCTCTCTCTCTCTCTCACTCTCTCTCTCTCTCTCTCTCTCTCTCTCTCTCTCTCTCTCTCTCTCTCTCTCTCTCTCTCTCTCTCTCTCACTCTCTCTCTCTCTCTCTCTCCCCCCCCCCCACCCTGTGTCACACTGTATTTGGCACCTACCTGAGGAAGAGTGGGAATCAGCTCCAGGATGTAGTTTTCAAAATCCTACGCCACACGAATCATATGCATACGTGCACACACACGCACGCACGCACGCGCACACACACACACACACACACACACATGTCCATGCGTGCACAAACACATGCATACACATGTTTAACAGCTGTCCAAAATTCATACTCTAAAACCGGGAATTTTCGGTATGTCCCAAAATGAACGGTTCGGTAGCGCAAAAATTTCGGTAAACCAGCTTTCCAGATCCAAAAATGCATTTTGCACACTGTTTGGCATGGCACGCGAATCGATTAGGATTCTTGTGCGTACCGTACTGCAGTCGGCATGCATGTATGTATGTATGTATGTATGTATGTATGTATGTATGTATGTATGTATGTATGTATGTATGTATGTATGTATGTATGTATGTAGACTATCAGCACTGTAAAGTACCGCCAGAGCACCCCACCATCTCGTCCTTTCATGGTCGTCTTCTGGACGTGGTTTCCTGTCGGTAGGTCATACGATATAAAAACATGCCAAGTGTGACCTTGGTACACGAAGGTTCTCACAACATACACACTTAGCAGCATTCTGCCATACGGTTCTCTTCCCTTGGCTGTAAAATCAAGGTGGGGCGCTCTCGCGAGACGGGTCGCTCTCGCGAGACGGGGCGCTCTCGCGAGACGGTGCGCTCTCGCGAGACGGGGCGCTCTCGCGAGACGGGGCGCTCTCGCGAGACGGGGCGCTCTCGCGAGACGGGGCGCTCTCGCGAGACGGGTCGCTCTGGCGAGACGGGTCGCTCTCGCGAGACGGGGCGCTCTCGCGAGACGGGGCGCTCTCGCGAGACGGGGCGCTCTCGCGAGACGGGGCGCTCTGGCGAGACGGGTCGCTCTCGCGAGACGGGGCGCTCTCGCGAGACGGGGCGCTCTCGCGAGACGGGTCGCTCTCGCGAGACGGGGCGCTCTCGCGAGACGGGTCGCTCTCGCGAGACGGGTCGCTCTCGCGAGACGGGGCGCTCTCGCGAGGGCGCTCTCGCGAGACGGGGCGCTCTCGCGAGACGGGTCGCTCTCGCGAGACGGGGCGCTCTCGCGAGACGGGGCGCTCTCGCGAGACGGGGCGCTCTCGCGAGACGGGGCGCTCTCGCGAGACGGGGCGCTCTCGCGAGACGGGGCGCTCTGGCGAGACGGGTCGCTCTCGCGAGACGGGGCGCTCTCGCGAGACGGGGCGCTCTCGCGAGACGGGGCGCTCTCGCGAGACGGGTCGCTCTGGCGAGACGGGGCGCTCTCGCGAGACGGGTCGCTCTCGCGAGACGGGTCGCTCTGGCGAGACGGGGCGCTCTCGCGAGACGGGTCGCTCTCGCGAGACGGGGCGCTCTCGCGAGACGGGGAGCTCTCGCGAGACGGGGCGCTCTCGCGAGACGGGTCGCTCTGGCGAGACGGGTCGCTCTCGCGAGACGGGGCGCTCTCGCGAGACGGGGCGCTCTCGCGAGACGGGGCGCTCTCGCGAGACGGGTCGCTCTCGCGAGACAGGGCGCTCTCGCGAGACGGGTCGCTCTCGCGAGACGGGTCGCTCTGGCGAGACGGGGCGCTCTCGCGAGACGGGTCGCTCTCGCGAGACGGGGCGCTCTCGCGAGACGGGGAGCTCTGGCGAGACGGGTCGCTCTGGCCGTACTTGACGGTACTAGTACTATAGTCAGCTTTGCGTATAACGACACTCGGCGGCGGGGCGTCAGAAAAGTGTCCTTATTCGCGAAGTGTACTTATCCCCGACGTCTCATTATATGTATTACAGTTGGATGGGACTTTGCTCTGGGCATGGAAATTCTGTCGTTATTCGCGAATTGTCGTTATATCCGCAGGTGTTGTTATTAGCCAAGTTGACTGTAGTGCATGTGTCGTGACCCCGAGAATCGGGCGCACTTACAGCACTACAGTCGTCGGCAACTAAATCCGTCCAATGCTATGCTAGCTACCGGTAGCTGTACGGTGGTGCATGGGCCGCATTCACTGCCACTGCTAGTACCGGTACTAGCCTACAAATCAGTGCACGGCACATGCCCTGCTGCTGGCTGCCGGGACTGCATACACTCACTCAGTACACGAAGACTAGAACCGAGAACCACTGGAGCATGCACTGTTCTATACCTGATTCACCAGCAGCGGGAACAGCAGCACCAGCAGAGCCACACCAAGCCATGGTGGTCACACGTCGTGATGATGATCCGAGTGAGCTTACAGCACATGGGCAGAGTCCCCAATGTGTGCCTGGGGTACACAATGATCATGTGTAGTTGTAAACTTACGACTTCAAGGAGAACCCCGGTGCCGTGCGTGTCGAACAGACTCAGGCCTATGCGCGTCTGCTGCAGCCAGACTGTAATGCAGAGATGGAGAGATGTGCACACACGTACACACACACACACACACACACACACACACACACACACACACACACACACACACACACACACACACACACACACACAGTATCCTGTTCAGCCGTTCAACACTGGAGGTGAGTGTGGCCTAGGTCAGTGCGTGTCCACACATATGTTCATACGTACAAACACTGTCCTTCAATAGACACCGTGCAACATCAATACAGAACATCACAAAACAACATGCAAGTTTACTAGTTTAGGCTATATTCATTCAGGATATTGTTTATGCGCGCACAAATCTGCCTTGAAAGGAGTTCAAAACTTGTCCAACTTTTCCAACGTTCACAAACGCTTGCATCACAGTGCTCTCAAACTAATAAGATGAAATAGAAAAGGACCTATAAGTTACTAGTTATGACTGACAGTCCACCAAGGTAACGATATGATAATATACAGTCAAATAGGTCCTTTTCTCTTTACATATTACTATTGGCTCAACACCAGAGTTTTTAATAACATGAAACTCAAACCTCCTTACCTTTTCTCATTATGTAGGCATACAGGCGACTGATGGGTAACCTGGGAGAGAGAGAGAGAGAGACGAGGAGGTACGAGAAAGACATTGATACACAAAGAGACAGACAGACAGACAGACAGGCAGACAGACAGACACACAGAAATGAAGAAAGACGGAGAGACAGATAGGCACATCAGTGGCTGATCCATTGCTGGCCTGAAGAGGGAGCCCGTCTTTTTTTTTAAAGATATACAGTCGACTCCACTTATAACAGACTCGCACATACATATAGCGAATTATGTGATATAGCGAACCAGTGTCCATGTCCCTGTTTGAACCCGCACAAAGCTGACCCTTTATAGCGAACAGTTTCGGTTATAACAAACCAAATCTCGTAGGGCCGTATGTAAACCAGGTGCATTCATTCTGTCGTGGGCCACTTGCCAGTCATGACCTACAGCTTGTATAGTGTGAGTGCATTTCTGTTATAACAAACTTTGGCTATAAAGAACTAATTCTCCTGCACAATGGTGTTTGTTATATCAGAAGTCGAAGGCTGCACGTACGGTAAGCTCCACAGTGTCAAAACTTCTCAAAAGGTTGAAAGTGCAGAAGTGCCAGGCGCTTGGTAGTCCGTAAGGGCGACAGGGAGCATGTAAACCAGGTGCATTCATTCTGTCGTGGGCCACTTGCCAGTCATGACCTACAGCTTGTATAGTGTGAGTGCATTTCTGTTATAACAAACTTTGGCTATAAAGAACTAATTCTCCTGCACAATGGTGTTTGTTATATCAGAAGTCAAAGGCTGCACGTACGGTAAGCTCCACAGTGTCAAAACTTCTCAAAAGGTTGAAAGTGCAGAAGTGCCAGGCGCTTGGTAGTCCGTAAGGGCGACAGGGAGCATGTGCCCCCTCCCCCTCCCCCCCCCCCCCCCCCTCCACCCAACCCCCTTCTCAAAAGGTTGAAAGTGCAGAAGTGCCAGGCACTTAGTCCGTGAGGGCGACAGGGAGCATGCCCCCCCCCCCACCCCCAAACCCCACCCTAAAAGCTTTCGACCCTCACTCAGTATGTGAATGCTTGTGCCTAATGGCCTAGGCATCGCAGTTCACGGTACGTGCTGTGAATGCAGAATCCAGGGCCAGTGGGCAAAGTCCACTTGTACGTGTAGGGAAAATAAAACTTGTATGCGTAGCTAGCTTTAGGTAAGCTGTACAGCTGCATGGCTGCATGGCTGTACTCTAGAACAGCTTACCGGCCACGAGGGTCTTGCTGGTAGAGCTTTGCATACACCATGGGAGTGAAGTAAGAGCTGCATGAACCATGACAACAACCATGAGAAAAACAATGAGAATGACGATGAGAATGACGATGAGAATTACGTTAGCAACAACAAAAAAGTTGACATCAACGACAATGGCAACAGCAGCAACGGCGGCAGCACCAGCAGCAGCAACAATAACAGCAGCATCACCACCACCACCGCCAACAACAAGTGAGAATAAAGAAATCAAACAACACCTCTTATTGGCCACTGGTCATCGTGAGAATAAAGACTTCAAACCACGACGACGACAGGGGCAATGACGGTGATGAGGGAGGGGAGGGGGGTATGGGGAGAGGCTGGTGCAAAGGTGACCGACCGGAAGGCCCAGCTCGAGCCTTACCTGAACTTTTCGCCGGCCTCTTGGCCTACGCGCACAAAGTCGTCAAAATTGATCATCTGCATTGGGGAGAGAGAGACAGTCGGAGAGAGAGAGAGAGAGAGAGAGAGAGAGAGAGAGAGAGAGAGAGAGAGAGAGAGAGAGAGAGAGTGAGAGAGAGAGATAAACGGACACACGTGTGACCGTTTCACCACTACTTCAAGTAGGTGAGAGCTGGTCGAGCTGGTCGAGCTGAACACTTTTGGCTATGAACTCTTGGTTATTTGACAACAGGGCAAGTTTCACTGACCCACGCTCCACGTGCAGTTCACAAACCGACCACCACAGCGGCGGATCAACAGAACACCAACAACTCACCTTCTCTTCATTCTCCTGACTGGAATATTGCCTCTGCAGAAGAGCCCAGACAACCTGGGTAACGGACAACAAACACCAGGGCCGTTGGAAGGTATTTTAGTGTGCTACGCTCAGACATCTGAACTGTACTATTTACGTGCGAGAGAGGGGTGGCTGAGCCAACAAATTTGGAAATAATAATTCAGAGCTCAAATCAGTGCATTTTATTGATTCACGGGGTACTCGGGGCAAAGAGTGGTACGGTCAATACCGTAGTGACCGTACCGTGTGCGACGCCCCTGAACACCATGACACGAAGGTTTAGTTGTCTGATGATTGCCTACGGGCATGAAACTACCAGCTGCCGCAAATGATCAGATGCGTGGTGCTGTGTGTGGTGTAAGAGATAGCTCTATTCATATGAATATTGCGCACTCTACCTAGCCTGAGGACTCTCAATTGTTTGGCACAAAGTATAACATTGACGAAATCGGCAAAGGCAACAACGATGACGACGGCGGCGGCAGCGGCGACGACAACAACAACAACAACGATGTCTTATTGGCGATGGTGCCATCGTGAGAATAAAGAATTCAAAAACAACAACAACAACAACAACAACAACAACAACAACAACAACAACAACAACAACAACAACAACAACAACAACAACAACAACAACAACAACAACAACAACAACAACAACAACAACAACAACAACAACAACAACAACAACAACAACAACAACAACAACAACAATACCAGCAGCAGCACTGGAGGCGGCAGCAATGCCAGCGATAATAGGAATACGTGAGTGTGGAAAATGTGTCAGTCGCCAGTAAGTAATTCACACATGCGTAGGCATGTTCACGCACCCACGCACACACACACACACACACACACACACACACACACACACACACACACACACACGCACACACACACACAGAGTGGGTGTCGACGCACCCGCAAGATTTTGAATGCACGTGAATGGCCCATATCCAACTCAACAAGTGGGAAAAGCAGCCATACTCTGTGACTCAGTGACTCAGCAGCCATACTCTGTGACTCAGTACAGCGCAGAACTACGCAGTTTACAGTCCACTTCGCTAATAACGACTGCGGATATAGCCACAATTCGTGAATACCGACAGAATGTCCATGCCCAGAGCAAAGTCCCATCCCACTGTAACACATAATAAAGAGACAGTTCGGGTATAACGACACTTTGCGAATAACGACACTTTTCTGATGCCCCGCCGAGTGTCGTTATACGCACAGTTGACTGTACTGTGTTCACACTCACATCAAGGTCGCTGTTCGTCAACATTTCCTTGCTGAGACGCTGCACATGACGTGCCCTGAACGAAAAACAGAAAAAACAAGAATGTGCACAAACACACACACACACACACACACATGCACGCACACGCCCAATGACCACACACATACACACACACACGCAGGCGCGCACGCACCCAAAACCGAGCATGCGTGGTTGAGCACTAGCGTACAGAAATGCAAAACAGAGTACAAATTTTACATCAGAGTGCACATTGTATAACATTTTCTCACGAGACGAGCAAAGCATGACATCATCATAATAATTATAGCATGCTTACCGTGCTTCCTCTCTCACTCTCATACGGACTGCATCGTTCTCATCCGGACACTGAACAGTGTAAAGCGCAAACACATATGAGCAGACACAGAACATACGTGTGTCCACGGAGGCATAGAACATAATTAGCCCGTTGCGCAATGATGCAATTTGCACCGCGAACACCCCACACAGCCACCTGGGCATGGTCGTCTGGGGTGTTGAACAGTGCATTGCTGATTCCAGTGTACTCACATAACACCCCACACAGCCACCTGGGCATGGTCGTCTGCGGTGTTGAACAGTGCATTGCTGATCCCAGTGTACTCACATAACACCCCACACAGCCACCTGGGCATGGTCATCTGGGGTGTTGAACAGTGCATTGCTGATCCCAGCGTACTCATATGCATTACTCACACCTTCCATATTTGGCAATGCACAATGGGCTTATTGTCAGGGCTGTCACTTTCTGGGAGTAGAAACCCGAACAAGTCAACAAGTTGGGGGGGGGGGGGGGGGGTAGACGGACCTGCCCGGATTAGGGACGTCTGAATTATTTGTACATTGCACACAACCCTACTAAGGAAGAGCTTGACAGGAAGCAGGAAGGAGCAACGACATAAAAACGTTAGGGGCCATGGTGGCTGTGCCAGTGAGGTGCACCTAGCTCAGCCGACAGACTGTCTCTCGGCTTCATTGCCAAGCCCACGCACTGAAGAAAGAGAGCCTTGAAAAAGGGGAAACAGCGGAGAGAAATGAATAGAAAAGAAAAGAGGAAAAGGACATAAGGGATACGAGTTAATTTAAAAGAGTAACCGTCCACCACTGTAACTAGATACTATATACAGTCAGAAAGTGCAACAACGCTCGTATCCGTATGTCCTTTTTTCCTTTCTATACAGTCAACTTCGGTAATAACGACTGCGGATATAACAACAATTCGCGAATAACTACAGAATTTCCATGCCCAGAGCAAAGTCCCATCTAACTGTAATACATATAATGAGAGTTCGGGTATAGGGACACTTCGCGAATAATGACACTTTTCTGATGCCCCGCCGCCGAGTGTCGTTATACGTAAAGTTGACTGTATTTATTATTTGCTCAACATCCGACTTTCAAAAAGAAAACATGAAAAGAAATGCAAAAGAATCTGCAGAGTTTCACGCTGTACCTTTCTGTAGAATCGAGGTATGTGCTGGTAAGTGGATGCTGCAGCGGCGGCAGCAGTCGGCGTGTGCCAGTCGGCAATGCACTGCGCCGTCATCTGCTCCACGTCCGCCTCCAATGCGGCCGACACTGCGCCCGATGGCCCGGCACCATCACCACAATCACCATCATCACCACCACCATCACCATCATCATCATCATCACTGGTACTGCTACCTGGATCAGAAAAAAAGCGAACGCAGAGTCTTTTTTTTTTGAACAAGCGACGAGGGGACAATACACTAAAACTTGTCAAGGTGACCACCTGTCCTAGAAGACCACCTGTCCTAGAAGACCACCTGTCCTAGAAGACCACCTGTCCTAGAAGACCACCTGTCCTAGAAGACCACTGCAACAAGGATCAAGGGATGCAATTTCCAGTCAAATGACCCTGGATAAGGAGACCAACTGGTAACAGAGACCACATTTTGAAGGTCCATTGTGCGGTCATCTCAGACAGGTTTGACTGTAGTTTCAATAGTGCAATCAACTGGACAAGCTGGATCGACATACAATTAAATACTTTATTAAATTAGAAGAAGAAAAAGAGGAGCAAAGAGCTACACGTTACGCTATAATATGCAGTAACACCACTGCAGTTACTTTACAATAAGCTCATGCGATAACATTGCACGACACTGACCGACAGTACTGACGTTCTACACATAACTGGCAATCAGCTCTAGCACATCTCAGCTCTAGCGCATCTTCTAATGTAACTGGTGGTGTTAGTGGATATTATAGCGTAACTTGTAGCTCTTTGGCCCTCTTTTCTTCTTATAAATGAATCCTTGGCTCTCCACCCGAGCCTAATTTACTAAAATTAGTAACAAAAATTCTGCTAGAAGAAATATGTAGACAGTCAAAAACCCTGGTACTGTAGATATTCAAATTTTCGGCAGCTATTAAATTTCGCCTATATTCGGCACCGACCCAAAATGCCTAAATTAAAACGCCGATGAAATTTTTCACAGCATCTGTCGCACTATACCATGTACCATGCCCTCTACCCCAAGCCGAAAATAAATCGCCGCCGAAATGTCAAAAATCGTGAAGTGCCGAAATTTTGCAGGGCCGAAATTTTGTATATTTACAGTATGTCGATCCAGCTTGTACTATTGATTGCGTTTTGAAACTAGAGTCTTTCTCATTTTCTTTTTCACTGTGAACACAGCCCTGCTGGGAAACATGTGGCCTAGAACAACACAAGACAAGACACAGAGGTTGTAGGAAATACGTGACCGACGCACTGAGAGCCACTCGACCAACCAGAGGTCTCGGCGCTAGCCTCGCAATCAGGCATCGGGAGCGTGTACAACGAAGGGAATGGCGGGGTGGCGGGGTGAATCATTGAATGCATTCGATGAATATTTTCGGCGAAGTAAAGACACTTTGACTCATGTCGACTCCCAGGAAATGCAGCGCACGTTGCCGAACCTTATCCAGCTGGGTGCAGACAGAACAACACTGCAGAAGTATCCGGTCATAGTAACGACGAATCACCAGCATGACCGACAAGACTGTTGGGTGACAGCCAGGTGGGTATTCGGCAAGTGACGGGAGTCGTCCACACCACTCGCCAATGCATTGCCGGATCACCAAGATCACTCGCTGCATGGCTAACTGTGCCGCATGTTGCCAATTTCAGTCCGTTCTTTTGTGCAAACTAGTCGTCGCCAAAGAAATCCAACCCTTGAAAGTAGCGCCAAGGCTCATACGGCTCATGCGGCCCTCGGACCAGTTTTGGGAACATGCATGATGTACTGGTTAATGAAATGGAGACGTGGCACTAGTTTTGGCTCGCGGGTTGGCACTAGTTTTGGCTCGCGGGTTGGCACTAGTTTTGGCTCGCGGGTTGGCACTAGTTTTGGCTCGCGGGTTGGCACTAGTTTTGGCTCGCGGGTTGGCACTAGTTTTTTGGATTTCTTTGCCCAAGACTGTATGTGCATGGAAACAAAATAATTAAAACAAACAAAACGTAAAAAAAATACACAAGTAGCTGAATTGCTTCACCGTACCCTTAGCTTCGACGAATTGCTGCAGCCTTTGCTCCCAGGACATCGTTGCCATATTCTGTGTGTGTGTGTGTGGCACAAGCTGATTGTAGCCCGCGTGGTATTAGCTACTAGCCACTATTGTAGGCCAATAATTGGTACCTGATGGAGAGATCCTCGCTCGCGAGCTGAGATCAGCACCACACGCAGGTAATACGTTGTTCAGTCCTGCAGCCGGCTACATTGCTACAGTGCGCTCACGTACGCCTACAAGTAGATGCGCTGCCGTCAGAGACCCCGGAGCAGCAGCGGGTTGTTGGAGAGAAATGACACGGAGAGAGTGGCTCTTGAAAGTTTGGAGTCACAGTTTTGTCCCCAGCAATGCACAAGCTGCTGTTGCCTTACTTCGCAACGACCACACTGGCACTGCTTGCGGCGTTGGACGTCTGCAAAAAAAACTCTCCAGTCCCAGGCTCCGCACTGGGCCATTGGTTGAATCGTATTGTTTTGATTGACATTGCAGCGAACAATTTTAGCTGGTTGAAACTCGCCTCAGTTCTCATCATCCTAGTCTTTGCATGTAGTTGCGTAGGCAAGGTTGTTTTATCAGCGCTCAGCAGTCAGAAGAAATAAGTTTTGCGATCAAAAGATTCAAAACACAAAACAAGCGCGCTTTCCGCGGGCCATGGCCAGATGACGGCCCAGCGGCCAGATCTGCACGACTCACCGGTCTACGCTGCGGGTGCACTAGTACTAGTAGTAGTACTACTACAATAGACCAATCCCGAAAAGATTGTCTGGGTTCGTGAAAGGGGGCACCCGTGCAAGCCAGCACGTGTGAAGTGCATCGTTTTGTATTCAGTTTGTGTGTGTCAGCTCATGGCGGACGAGAGAGAGACTTTTGCTCGCCGAGCTGAAGCTAAAGGATTTGATGGAGTCCTGCCAGCAGCTAGTCAAAGGACCTTCGGTACCTTAGGCAGACCCTGACGGAGTTTGGAGGCCAGCTAGCTCTCGGTGAGGAGAGAAACATTCGCGTGGCGATCGACTCTCCGTAAAAAATGCAAGCTTCCTTGTTATCTGTTGTCTCCAAAGTCATGGAGAAGATTGTCAACACTGCCATAATCAATCATCTTGAGCATGAAAAGGCTCTGTCCATCCACCAGTACGGATTCCGGCAGGGGCTCAGCACATCTGACCTTCTCACGTCTCTCAACCACTCATGGGTCTCCGAAGTCAACCGTGGTGGCGCAGTCCGCGTGCTGGCTGTCGACATAGCAGGAGCATTCGACAAAGTTTCACACCGAGGCGTGCTCCACAAGGCTGCGTCATACGGCATCACTGGTCCCCTCCTCAACTGGCTGTCTGACTACCTGTATGACAGGAAGTTGCAGGCAGTAGTCGGCGGAGCATCTTCAGAACCATACAGGATTGATGCTGGGGTCCCACAAGGGAGCATCCTTGGGCCCAGACTGTTTTTGCTGTACGTGAATGACGCCTGCGACGTCCTACCGGAAGGGATCACTCCGGCTGTTTACGCAGATGACACCACGCTTTATGCCCACATCCCAACGCCACATGCTGTGACAGAAGTGTGCCGCAACCTCCAAGCTGGTGTGGATGCACTTGCTGAATGGGGTGCTCAGTGGCGCGTCACTTTTGAGCCAACGAAATCACAGGCCATGACTGTGTCCCGCCACCGCAGACCCTGGGAGACACCACCCATCAAGTTCAACGGCACAGCGGTCCCAGAATGCTCGCGGCTGAAGCTCCTTGGAGTGACGTTTGATGCCCATCTAACATACTCGGAGCATCTTCGAGGAACTGCAGTGCGTGCCACACAGCGAATTGGTTTCTTCCGGAAGGCGTGCCATGTCCTGGACCCACCGGGCCGGGCCACAGCATACCGGGGGTTCATTCGGCCTCTAATGGAGTACTGTCCACTTGTATGGATGGGAGCTGCGGCTACCCATCTCTCACAGCTGGACCGAGTCCAGCATCGTGCCCTCACCCTGATTGGGACAGGGGCTGCAATGGACACTCTGTCCCTGCGGCGCCGTGTGGCCGGCCTCACAACTCTGTACAAGCTCCATTACATCGCAAGCCCGCCAGCTCTTGCAGCGACACGCCCAGCCAGAGCCATCGCACCCGCCATCGCGCCTGCCACACGTCGCCGCTCGGCAGCCAACCTTGCGCACGAGCTTCAACTCCAGACAGCCCTACCTGCCAGATCGTGCAATGTTGCGCTGCGCTCTTTCCCGGAGTGCCTCATCGAAGCCTGGAATGAACTGCCAGCCACTCTCCTCCGCGATGCACCGTCTGCCAAAGGGATGCAGCAGTTCAAGGTTCAGACCTACCGCTACCTGAAACGGTCGGGTTGGTCATTGGCCACGGACATCGCGCCCTAGGCTACTGCCAGTACGACCCTGTTCATGTTCTCGGAGCACTCCCTTCTCATCAAACTCCCAATCCATCTGTCTTTATCTCTCTCTAACTCTCCTCCATTCTAACTCTAATCTTTCGTCAAATCTGCACGGCATTCAGCCTCTACTTTCGCCTCAGCATCATGATCTTGATACTGCTATAATAATAATTATTTGTACTTGTTTGCGAACTTGTTTGCACTCATATCTTGGAATAACAAGTTTCCTGGTTTCCTACCCCCCCCTCCTCTCTTTCCTACCCTTAGAGTTCTTGCTCTCCTGCTCCCCTCCCCGCCCTTCCAGTCCCCACTTTGTTTCCTTTGGTGCACATGTGCAGCTGTGATGCCGAGACCCTTGGTCGGCTGAGCTTCACAGGTCCCACCCACTCCGTCCTGCTGGATATGTACCATTGTGTCGAGTTCTTCTCCTCATTTTAGTTCATCATGCAGTGAGTGTTCAATAGTAAAAAAAAAAAAAAAAAAAAAAAAAAAAAAAAAAAAAAAGCTACATAGCGCCGACATACTGCAACAACTACGATTTCAGCTAACTTCTCGATCTGCTGCTTCACAAAGTTCAACTATTTACAAGTCCTGACTGTTGTAGTCTGAAGCTGGAGTCTCATCGCCCACCTACAGGTAGCTTTTGGAGCTGATGGATTTCCCGACTCGGACTCCT